TCCCACCCCCTTTTCCATCTCCGTCCTTTCCCCTGTCCTTTGGCCGCCCATCGTCGTCTTCGACGTCGTTGACACGGCCGCCCGCAACGTCGACCAAAAACTCAAACTTGCACACCCTCTTCCCGCCGCGCGTGACAAAGACGTGGCCCGGCGCGACGAGGGGCCCGATGCGTCTCGCCACCAGCCCGGCCTCTTCCCATAACTCGCGCGCGACAGCATGCAGAATGCTCGCATCCTCCGGGTCGCATGCCCCGCCAGGGGCTTCCCAGCGTAGGGGGGCCGAGTCGTGCGCGGCGCGCTGGACGAGGAGGACGCGAAGGGACTGGGTTCCGTTGCCGTGGTGGTCGGCGGCGGCGTCAGTGTCGACTATTGTGTCGACTGTGCTGACGGTGTCAGTTGGGGTAGGAAAGTGACAAAAGACAAGAGCCCCCACGGCGACGTATTCGTAATCTGGGATCCCTGAGCGTGTGGCCTGGTTGGCGATATATTTCTGGTACGGGACCGTGAAGGGTGATACCGATGGGTCTGTGGTGAATGTGAATGTGAATTCTGGGGTTGGCTTTGGGACTTGGCCGGCCATGGTTGTCTTCCCTATCAAACTGGTCTTCCTTGTGGACTGGTCGCTTTGATCAGCCTTTGCGTCCACGAGGGTACGGCGAGGGTATGGCGAGGCTGTTTCGACCCTGTTGGATTGACTCCCTCCAGAGGTACTTGGAACTCTGCAACTCACTTGAACTGCTCTACGAGGTGCAGCAGGGACCGAGCAAGATCTGGTATGAGGCGGGTGGCCCACTTGAATATCCTGTTCTCTACTTGTACAATGGTTCACACTTGTTCAGGTTGTCGGTCCGGGAACCCTTATCTTTCTTTTCTGTGCAAGACGCTCTGGTACTGCCAGAGTCTCAGTTTTCAGGGGAATCCGATTCTGTACTCGGTACTTGTATCTGGTCTCGGAGCGGAAAAACCTTGATCCTCACTACTACCCCTTGTTGACAACCATTAGGCCACAGCAATAGCAACTTTACCCACACTTACTGCGTTACCTACGTACCTACCCAGTCCAACACTCTCATCACGCACTTCCTAACCCTCTTACACATATCGACACCATTCGTTAGCCTCACAACGGGAGCCTGATCGGTTGAGCCTCTACCATCACGCCTCACCCAAGCGGATTTGCCATGCTGCTGCTGCCTAGCCGAGCGAACGAAGTCACTGCCTGCGCCAAATCACTGGCTCACCGGAGTCCGCGCGAGCGTCAATAGCCTTACGAAGCGAGGGGCATCGACTTCCCTTGGCAGCGTGTCGCACTTCTTGGTGCTCATCAATCCGGAAATGAGATTGTCGTCGTGATGTGCCGTTGCATCACTGGTTCCACCACACATCATGTATCTACTTGACACGAGGACTCTAGAATTGCATGTTCCCACTGGCACATATCCTCCACCATTACCTGGCCGCCCGCTCTTGTCGCGTTACCTATTCGCAGTTGCTCGCACGACACGCACGCATTAATTGAATCCTTCATGACGGGAAACATCAATTGAAGCTAAAATAGAATTATGTCTCTCGAAAAGACGCTGCGTAAGATCAACCTCGACCTTGAGCGCTAAGCATGGCCTTCTGCATTCTCCCGGAACCTCGAAAGTCATTCTTGGGACTTTCACTTCTTTTCCGGCTCATCGGTTGGCACAACGGCTCTTGCTTCTATTTCGTTCCAAAATTTCTTCTTCCAGGATGCCACCTCGGCGGCGTCTTCTATCCACACCCCATGCTCTCCTGAAGTGAGAGTTGGGAGTGGCCGGCCTATGAACAAAACGTGCTCCTCCATCACCTGTGTTTGCTTGTATTCAGCTCTCTGCAAGGCAGGCAAGCCTCACGGAACGGTGTGGGCGCACGACAAGATGGAGTGGTAGAGGGTCAGTAGCTCTAAACGTGAACAGAAGTATTTGGGAAGTGTGAGGCTAGTGAGGCTAAGCCAACGTTGGGCCAGGCTGGGCCGCGACCCCGTCGGAAAAGTTTAGCTAAGGGATTCATGGGTCGTCACACGTGACGACCTCTGCCATACACCACCAACGTCCTCGTGAGGGATATACACTTGTATATTCTAGCAAGGTCACTGACAATTTGTTGCCCACTGTTTAGGAAAAAGATATCCAGGTCCCTCCCTCCCTACCAATTATCCGATTGCGCAATGGCCGAACAGCCCCTGCCGCCAATAAACTCTCTCGCCTCCTTTTCATTGCTGACAATATGCGGACGTTGACCCGGACCCGGTGGAAGACTGTCCAGATCCATCTGCAAGACGTCGCTGGGATCGAGCACCACGACGTTCTTCCCCTCGACGACTAACCGCTTGATACTCTCGTGGATGACGCGGCGGGCGACGCGGTTGAGCGAGAAGGCGTCTCTCAGAGAAATCACAATGGCGCACGCGTCCTGGTGTGCCCCGGACCCGGGGTCCTTGGGGTCCGGGTCGCCGAGTTCGCGCACGATGGCGCGCGTGAGGCGCTCGGAGCCGGCGAAGCGGACGGCGCCACGGAGGGCGAAGATGACCACGCGTCGGTCGCAGTTGGGGTGGTGGGGTTCCTCCTGCCCCGCGACGATCTTGGCCACCGACGTGCTCACGCTGGCGCGCGCGACTTGGCTGACGTCCATCATGTGGAAGCCCATGTCGCGGGATAATTGCTCAAAGAGCGCCACGGCGCGGACGCTGTTACCTCGGTCGTTCAGTTTCGGTGAGAAGGCGGCGATGCCGACCTGTCCCGGTAGGGCGCCGATGACGCCGCCAGCGACGCCGCTCTTGGCTGGGATGCCGACGCGGGACACCCAGTCCCCCGCGGCGTCGTACATGCCGCATGTCGTCATGACGGAAAGCACCTGGCGGACACTGTCTGCGGGCATGATGGTTTCGCCCGTGACGGGGTTCACTCCGGCGTTGCAGAGGGTTGCCGCCATCATGGCCAAATCGCGGACGTTGACGTTGACGGAGCACTGGCGGATGTAGCCCTTGACGACCTCGGCGGGTTTGCACGAGATGATCCCCGCCGCCTTCAACATGTACCCGATGCCCATGTTGCGGTCGGCATCCTCAAGCTCGGCCTCGTACACGTCCTCGTCCACGTAAAGCTGTCGCCCCGCCAGCCTAGACAGAGTCTTGAGGATGCGGTCGACTCTCTCCTCCGCCGTGGCGTTGGGGTGGACCACGAGTGAATGCGCCGCAATAGCCCCGGCATTGATCATGGGGTTCATCGGTCGGTTGTTGCCCTTGTGCAGCGATAATTTGTTGAAGGCATCGCCGGACGGCTCGACGCCGATCCGCTCCAGCACATGTTCCAGCCCAGCGTCCTCGATTGCGATGGCGTAGACAAACGCCTTTGAGATGGACTGGATCGAAAACTCGACTTGGTCGTCCCCGGCTGAGTAGACGTTGCCATCTACCATGACGAGTGCCACGGCGAGCTTGGATGTGTCTGCATTTGCCAGCGTCTTGATGTATTGAGCCGGGGCGCCATCGTCGTTCGGTCGGACCTTCTCCAACAAAATATTCAGGTAGTCCGGGATCGGTGACTTCATATCTATCGGGGAAACTCTTTTGCCGTGCTATGCCGTGCGGTATTGTGGCCTCTTGTCGAAGCACGTTGAAGGGAAAGAAATGGGGCGTGGTGTTCTTTGTAAGTTTTATTTGTCAACCAAATCCCCAAGTCCCCAAGAAGCGCCAATACTTTAGAGTTCCTTGGTGGTTGCTATACGTAAGCGCGCGTGCTGGGCAGTCGAGTTGGCAACTTGGATCTTCTTACCACACGTGGACAATAAAGAAGGTGGATGAAAAAGTGCAAGTGAAAGTCATGTTGGACAAGTACCTTTTCAGCTCCCAGTTGCGTTGAAATGAGAGCTGAAAGCCGCCCGACACCACACCACGTGACGTCACATGACAAGTGAATAGATCTTTCACATACCTGTGCTTGTAGTCGGACATGTCTTTGAAGTCGCACAGAGGGTGTACAGACAAGCCGGAAAATGAATCGTGAATCGCCACATACTGTTGCCTTTGTGACTTGGAGGGTCTGCCCGCAGTAGTTGTCACAGTCCCTAGCTGGGTGCCGAGCTGGGTGCCTAGCCTCTTTGGTTAGGTTATGTCAGCTTCCCTTTACCACTTGCGGTATAGTTCCGGTGGGGACACGTACAGTACAAGTAGTTGTCCTCCTCTTGGTGTCTGACTATGCCCTGTGGCTATCCCTCTGGCCCCAAGCACCTTTCGATATTTGTTTCAGGTGAGCTGGGTCCCATTCTTCATGAAAAGGTCCGGAGAATGACCCAGGGCCACAGCTTCGCACAACCATAAGTTCACCTTGATACTCTCTTGTAGATATCTATATGTTTCGGGGAGTGGGAGAAATCTAATCTATGATTATCTTGTTTCCCTGCCGTTTGTGAATCCGGGGAAATCTAGTGTTTCACTTGGACCGAGGTTCCAGACTTTTCGCCAAAATGATCATGCACACGTGGGGTTTCCAACGAGGTGAAGCCAAGAAGCCGAGATGTCGAGATACCGGACTGCCGCATTGCTTTCCCCTTGGTGGTGGGGAAGACGTTGTTTTTTTTTCCTGGTCACTGGGAAAGAGGGCAAAGAGTTGAAGACAGTCAAGTTCAATGGAGTGAGGGAAATGTGCATGTGCAGAGATAGAGATGAATGGACATGACGACCGACCACAATTTTGTCATGCGAGCAGAGATGTCTCCTACAAGACAGAATTTTTTCTATGTCTTGTCAACCCTGTCCTCCCGGATCAGCTACTCAGCACTTCCCAAAGACTCAGGGCCCACAGGCGGACATGGCAAGTCCTTCTATACCTCGTTGATATTTACATATAGCACTAGCTAGCCTTGGCCCTTCCCAAGCCGACATCCCGGGATCCCGAGCTATAGTATAAGGATTTTGCAATGCTTTTTCGATCATTGTTGTTGGCGATGGTTGCTATTAGAGAGTGTTTTCAATTATGAGTGTACGGGAAAAGGAGACGGCAATCGTCACGGGCGGCTCCCGGGGTATCGGTTTGGCCATTGCGCGGAAACTCGCTTCGCGGGGGATCAATGTGCTCATTGCAGATGTCCGGGAGGAACTCGGCAGGGAATCGGCGGAGCAAATCACAAAGGACTTTGGTGTCGAGGCCGTCTTCATCCGGGCCGACATGCGGAGCGAAGACGACATCAAGGCCATGGTTGACAAGGCCGTGAGCCTGTGGGGGAGGCTTGATTGGGCGGCCAACAACGCGGGAGTGGGCGAGGCCATGGACGACAACGAGGACCATGTCACGAGGGAAGGGTTTGACAAGTAAGTTCATGAGATGAGATGAGGCCTCCCTCGTGGCTATGTCCCACAGTTCCTTACCCATCTCGATGTGGCGCACACCACACCGAGGGGGAAAGAGTCTATGGACCAAAAACAAAAAAAGGAAAAAAAAAAAAAAAAAAAAAAGGGGATGAGCTAACAGCTTTCTCTTTTCCTCCCATCTTTTCAGGCTGTACGAAATCTGCCAGCGAGGCGTCTGGCTCTGCCAAAAGTACGAGGCCGAACAGATGCGGAAACAAGAGCCGCGCGTCCCCGAGGGAAGCTACCTCAACGACAAGTCGTACCCCCAGCGCGGCGCCATCGTGAACACGGCCTCGATCTGCGGACGCATGACCAACGGGATGCCGGCCTACACGTCGGCCAAGCACGGCGTGCTGGGCATCACCCGGACGGGATGTCTGTTCTACGGTAAGCATGGCATCCGGGTCAACGCCCTCTCGCCCGGCGTGGTCATCACGCCCGAGTACCTCGACTGGAAGAAGGACTTTGTCGACGACGAGCGGTTTGCCGAGCAGGCCAGCGGCTATGCGAAGCGCTGCCCCATGAAACGGGCGAGCGATTGTGAGGAGCAGGCCAACGTGGCCAGTTTCCTCTTGAGCGGTGAGAGTAGCTTTGTCAACGGGGCCGATATCGTCTGTGACGGAGGTCTCACGGCCGTGTTTGACAGGTGATGATGGATGAGATTGGTCGGGCTCGACCTGGAAAATTCATGGGGAAAACTTGAGGCTATAGTCATATCATATTCCAATCGAGACATAGCCGTGAGGGGCCAAACGCAGAGCTTTGGTCTCTTAAGAGGGGCAATCGGTGGCCTGAACTAGCTTGCGATCGATGGACCAATCCACCATGAACCTTCTTCATCCTATGCTCGGTCCATACATGCTGGCTTGACCCTAGTCCTCCTTTTCGTGGGCAATCATGTACTAGCCTGCTAGGCATATATGGCGCGTCAACTATAGCCAACCGACAATCGACCGGTGGACAAAACACTCCTGAATAAATCTCAGTGCCCACGAGACCGTCACCGTCCGTGCCCTCAACCACTGCAGTTCGTGCTTGTCGAAGAACAGGTGGCAGAGCTCGTGCCCTTGACCCAGCGAAGAGGGCGACGTGGCGGCCAACACGTCGATGGCATCCGCATCTGCATCTGCGTCTCCCCCCCCGCCTCGGCAGCGCATGCTGGGGGAATCCGTCAACACTGTCGCTCCACTCGTTGACGTACGTCCTTTTTGCAGATCTTTGGTCAGCCGGTGAGGTAGCGAGCGTGTAAGAACATCGACGAGTCGAGTTACGAATTGTGCTCCGCTGAACCGACCCCGAAGGGTATGCAGGACCCGGAGAAGATTGGCGAGGCTCTGCATGTCCGTGGTTCTGGCGGCTTGAAGGTCTCGCTGGTAGATGTTCACGAGCAAGAGGCAGATGGGCAATGGGAGCCAGGTCGCACTAGAGAAATAAGGCGGGCGTCAGTATGGGTGGCCTTTTTGCGTGTCGTGGTGGTGCTGCTCTACTCAATCCCGAGGGACTCTCTTCCACACTTACATGACCAAAGGAATGCGTTCCCTTCCCAATACCTTGATCAAGGCTGCCGCCGTCCTCGAAATCTCATGGGGAGCGGCCTCTGTCTCCAGAATTGCCGCGAGATCGAGCCCCTCGCAGAGTCCACCAGTGGGAAGGCCGTCGTAGGAGTGAAGATGGTGAATCTGGTATAGCTGAATGACCAGGGCACTAGGGGAAGGAGGGGCCGTGTAAGAAACCGTTTTTAAGAAGCACGACGAAAAAGAAAACACCGACCGGGGCCGGGGGGGGGGGGGGGGGGTAGGGAAGGCCAAATGCAAAACTCACTGCCGAAGGATATCGAGAACCTGAACGGTTACCATATTCCGTTCACCCGCGCTGCTGTGGGCGACGAGACACTCTCGTCGGCTCTCATCCCACCTTTGAATCGCCTCGCGGATCCGGAAAATGTCGTCTGAACTGAACGGGTTTGTCGCGCGATCTCGAAACGCGCAGAACCGGGCCACAATGTCGCTGAGCTGGCACGCCAGCGGAAATGACCTGCGAACCATCTCGACGACCTCGACGTCGGTGTTTGGTGGGAAGGCGATCCTCGCGGCGATGGCTTTGACATGCACGCCGTCGTCGGCAACTGTATCGTCGGCGACGATATCGTCGAGGGGAGTGTGGAAGGCCAGAATTCGCTTCCTGATCAGGCAGCATTTCCACAGCAGGAGGATCCTCTTGCCGTCGTGGTGCTTGTCGGTCATTGATTCGCGCGCCGTCCGTGCCTTGCTCAGGGCCAGATCAGCCCAGTAGTGGTTGACCTCAGTCTCGGAGCTATAAGGGCCCCAGTGGCTTAGCAGCAAGCAGGTCTCGGCTTGGACAACAGGGTTCATGGTCTCGTCTTGATGGAAGTACCTCTAGAAATTTCCAAGTCAGTCGAGCGTCGACTGGATTGCAAGGGGTCCGATAACGCCTATAGAGATGACCTCTTTTCACCTTACCCTGGCTTGGTCGAAGAGGACGCTCTGACCTTCGTGGATGGATGAAAATGGTGTGCTCTCGAGCTGGGACTCACTGAGATACTACACTCAGATGCATCAGCGTCTCGGTGTACGACTGGGGGAGACATGACCGGGTTCCGGCCTTACGCCAAACGCCACGAAGATCATGGCGAGATGCCGCGCTTTGCCATCAGCTTTGTCGCTGTGCCGATTCTGGAGGGCTGGCTCATCGTCCCTGGCATCGAGGAATGGCCAATGCGGATGGAAATACTGAAAGTATAGGTCTCTGAGCACTTTCTCCAGCTCGCCGGCTTGGGGCCAGCCTGGGAACAGCGTGGGTAGAAGTGCGGGACAGTAAGGGTTGCATGATACAGTGTCCTCGCCCTGTTCACCCATTTCTTGGTTGGGAGGTTCCCAACGAGGCCAGCAGGTTTCCTCTGAGGCATAGCCGTCCAGGACAGGAGAGCTCGTCAGCGGACGAATCCGTGCCATGTTTCCCTGAAAACCCAGATCAACCAAGGATGGAGGCGTGCACTTACCGAGAGTCGCGGACGGAATGTCTTGTTCGTCCTGATTAAAGACCGTATCCCAGGCGGGCGACTTGGGAGCTAAATGATTTTCATTACAGACGAATAACTGCATCTCGTTGTCGAAGTCTTGCCCAGAGAGTTCGGTGCCCTGAAGGCCCTCGCACAAGAAGGGATCAATGGAATGAGACTCCATAGATTGAATTGTCGCATACGCCGCCGGAACTACTATGGGTCTTTTGCTGCGTCTATGGATGTCATGGTCTTGGGTCTTGAATCTGGCACTATAGAGACTCGGGAAACGCTGTTTCTGTCGATTTATGGGCTCTCTCCTAGACACACAAACCGAGAAGCCGGCGAGCCGTAGCCACTGTTCCTCACGTTTTTACACCAACGTAGCTAGCGGGAAGACCAATGTGGAAAGGTTTAGTGCCTTGCATTCCTGTATGGACAGGAACCAATGGACTGTGGCCTGGCATCTCTCGCTATTTATCTGTTCTACCAAGTATCCAAGCCGTTCCCTGGACCAGTTCTTCTATGGCCTGCTTCGCGGCCGGGAGGTCCGGGATCAGATGAAAGCCGTGGGGAACCATGTCGAACAGTTTGAACCGAACGGGCACCCTAGATCGGGCGAAGAAAATATATATATATATGATCAGTGGACCATCCGTACTTTGCTGCATAATCGCAAAATGGTGTCTCGGACGGATAGAACCTACCTGTTCGCTTCAAGGGCACTTCGCATGGCGATTCCTTGGTCACGGAGGGGGTCCCAGCCCGCGCAGACAATAACTGTAAACGACATTTTTCCCGTTAGAAATCTCCCCCTTGTTGCAGGTATTCCATCCCCCCCCCCCCCCCCCCCCCGAAAACAATGGATGCTCACAGACAGGGCAGGCGGGAAGGCTGTTACCGCCTCTTGGACTTACCCGTCGGCGGAAATGCGGCCAGATCTGGTGCGAGCAGTGGCGATACTAGCGATTGTCGAGTTCGCTCCGGGTGGTATTGATCTAATGAGGCCGTGAGTGAAACGCCATTTGCAACAGAGCGTGATCTCAAATCAGTGTTGAGGCGTGATGCTCCTTACCGAAACAAAAAGATAGAGCGTCTGAGCTCAGTAGCGGAGCGTTGGCGTGTTCTTCCCAGCTGCGGTTTGCAACAGCTCCGTCGTCGGGCCAGTGAAGGGGATCGCACGTCACGGGGACTGTAGTGTTCCTCGCGCGTGAGTCTCTTTTTGAACTCGAAGCGGAAGCCCGTCTGGGGATTGCTGGCTTGACTTGATTGAGAGGTGGAAGAAAAGGGCAGACACTCACTATTCAATACCAGTCCCCGTATTTGGAGTCCGGCCTCACCCTTCAGACTTCGATAGACTCCGCAGACCAGGTTTGCGCCCGCGCTGCTTCCTCCCAAGACGACCCGAGTTCGGTCGAAGCGATATTGATTGGAGTCGCGAAGGATCTATTGCGAGACAACTCAATACCATCCACGAGGAGAAGAGAGTGGTGTGTTCCTCGGTTGAGACAACTCACGGCTTGAATGCTGTCCACGCAGTCGTTCAACGGCGTCGGAAAGCGATGCTCAGGGCTCCTTGATCAGCCGTTATTTACAGAGACATCAAGAAAAGGCTGAAGAATGCCTACTCACAGCCTGTAGTGGAGGCTGACGGCTAAATATCCCAAGCGTTTGACGGCCTCCCTTGCGAAACCATCTTCAACCGAGAAGTCACCAGTGATCCAGCCTGACATGTTTTGATGGGGGTGGGTTTTCCCGTCAGCGATAGGTTCTTCGACCAAGTACCAAGACCATAGTAATAGAGATTTACCATCGAAAAACACAACACACGTATCCCACAGAAAGAAAAAAAGATAGACTTACCTCCCCCGTGAATGAGGATCAGCAGAGGCCGGGAAGCTGGCTTTGGAAAGACAGGCGCAGAGGCGGACGTCGCCGCTTCATACCAGAGCAGACTCAGCGGTGCCCCATCACGAGAAACGACTTTGCTCCATCTGACCTCGACGTCGCCGTCGCCCTGGGCTCCATTCGTCAATTCATCGGCCGACCGTCTGATTTTGCCAAAGGACTCGACATCTGGAAAATCACGAGGGTCGAGGGCTGGATACTTGTCCAAGGGCCAGAGGGCTTCATAGAGGTCGGGCGGTGACGGCATTGGACTTGTTGACGTTTCACGCATCGACAAAGTTGACTCAAATGGAACAGATCTGTCTTTTTAGTCTCGAGTTTTGAGATGTTTCTCCATGGTGTGGCCGCCTGTCAATGTCGAATGGGCACGTCCGGCCGGGGAGCCGAGATTCCGCTGCTGATTAGACATGAACCCCAGATACAGCCGGTCAGATCTGCCCGATCCAATAGAATATCTTTGACGTATAGTAATACCCCGTCGAATGACGTTTCGACTGTGGAGAACTGCTTCTGGGGCACTAATGACTGGCAGGTCATATTCACGTGGGTGCGATTGGGGGCTTCGCACTGACGATCCACGAGGAGACTGGCTGACATGGCATCAACGCCTTGGTTGTGAATCTGCGAGACGGACCGAGGAATAGGAAGTTCGAAGGAGTTCCGCAGTCAATCAAAACAAGCCAAACCAGCGTTGTTGAGACGGTGATGACAGCTGGTGGGGAGGCTGGTGTCAAAAGAACGGTCTTTCTCGGTCTCAACACAATAACCTTGAGCACTCTGTCTCCCAACAAATCCGCCAGGGCTCGAAGGGACGCGTTGACTATTTTACTAGAGAGAACCAGTGCCATTGTTATCCTCTGAGCCGTTCTCGTCGACGGGGATATAGATTATGCTTGGAGTTGTAGAGGCACTCGACTAGACGAGTAGTAAGCACCGTGAATGGCGGACACATCCCCTGAGACAAGTGTTACGTGTGACGTGTAGTTTTATGGGTAAAAAGAAACAATATGCTATCAAAGGCCACAACAAAGAAGAGACGAGCAAAGGGGTCGGATCCAAGTAATTAAACACTAGCGCAGGATGAGCTATGCAGGTAAATAGTCTGATTGCGAGACTGGATGCGATATTTCAAGCTCGGTCCGGAATTTCCTCTATCGGAGTGTGACTGTTGCTGGCATCCTTCTCTACCTAAAGCAAGAACATGATTGTGGTAGTAGCAGGCCTCGGAGTAGTGAAATAGGTGGTGAGGGAGACAATAAATTGCAGGTTTTGTTGTTGATGGCTCAAGATTTGGCTCTTGTTATAGTCATACGTGCAGATCGTGCAAAGAAGGTCAGAAAATGTGTCAAATGAGGGTCTCCGAGTAGCGGTCGCGGTGTGTCAACACTGTGTACCGAGGACTCGACGACGATGGAGATCAGCTCCATGTATTCACTTGCCTCGGGAACCGCCGGGTTGTGAAGGATGGCCAGGTACAAGACGTACAAAGCAAATGCAGGAAAAGGCTCAAGATACCTGGAATTGAATACAACGTCAGTCAAGCGATCAGCTGTTGGGAAGGCTAGGGAAATTTCCCCCGAACGGTAGAAATGCATTCATACCAGTAGAAGTTCGACACATCTTTGGGCAATGCCGTGATCATCCGAATCAATAGTGCAGCTGCTTCCCCGGTTTTTTCAAGATCCCGAGTCTCAGATGAAGCATGGCCCGGTAGCTGATCAGAAGATTTATGCTTGAGGCCTTGCACAGTTTTCCCCGCGAGCACTCTCATACCCAAGATCCATCTCGCCACACAAATCGACGAGTTGAGGACCAGAAGAGGTAGTCTCAGCAGATGAGACGTGTTGGAAATTTGTCGCGCTTCGTTGCCCGATTTGAGAAGCCAGTTAGCATCAAGGCTGTCACAGAATTTTGATATCTACGTAGAGTTAGAAAGATCCGGAATGAACACAATCGTGCTAGACCGACCTCTTTTTCAATCTCCGCAGTCTTTGACTCTAGGATCTCGAGCTCCAATGATCTTGCGGTTAGTTCGAATACGCGTTGCAGAATATGCGAAACTTCGATATTGGCAAGGAAGAGCTCTCTCTGTGGAAGTCCGAGAAGAGGATCATCCATAAAGCCACAGTCTTCAGGGTTCGAGAAGTCGGCTTCAAGGATATGCTTCGGCACTTGGACCTCGATATCTTCTCGGCGGAGTATGGGGGCACGGCCGAGGCGAAATGTCAACACTGTATGCCTCGCTGTTAGCACGAAAGCCATTGTAGTGTGACTGCCAGGATTTTCACTCACGCGTATCCAAGCAATACAACGTCCAGAACACGAGGCTGCGCTGTCTCAATTCTTCGTGGGAAAATCCCCATGCTCTTCGAGGCTGCAGATGAAGTCCAAGGGCTTGACTGTCGCGCACGGCACAGGCAAGGATGGTGTAACCCCAATGTGGAGAGGTTGAGTGGCTCAGGAAGAGGTACTGAAACCGAAAGTCAGTCCCACGTATTCTTCTCGTCCTGAAGTGATGGCCTCACCATAAGCGTCAAGGTCTGCACTTTGCGCAGAGACGACAGTCCAAGCGCTACCCGAGAGAACAACCCTAGAGCATTGCAGAAGAGGCCACAAGTCTGGTCGTCATTCGTACTGACACTAGCACGACTCCCCATGGCCAACACGATGTTGACGAGAGCACACCACGTCGGATTTTGAACATGTGATAACGAAGAATAAGAACGATTGAATTCGTGGATGAAGCTCTGCTGGTCGAGGACAGGAAAAGCACTTGAAAGATCAGCCTCAATAACTATCTCGAGAAGAGTTGAGTCTTATCCTTACCACTGCACTTCATCGAAATATGCTTCAAACATCCAAGAGTCAGCACAAAATGTGTGAGAATATTTAAGTTGGAGTCAACTTACTCTGGAGATATGATAGAGCAACATCATAAGGTGGTAGATAAGCGGCATCATAAGGCCGGGATGTGGACAGCACGTCATCAAGGGCATCAGGAGTCCACTTGGAGAGAAATGAGTGCATCTGGTCGGCGAAATAGGTCGAGGATGTTGCATTGGTAATCCATGTCTGGCCTATCTGTGTCCCAGCGACGAACTAGAGTGCAAGAAAGTGAGATGGTGTGACGCGCGTTGGCACCCAGGAAGGCCCAATCTCAGTAACTTACTGCCATGCTTGGCCCTGAAATGCAATGTTAGTAATTGTACGTGCCCCTAGGTCAGATAAGAAAGGGTCTTGACTTCATACCCATGTACTTGATATGGCCTGAAGCCGCTTTCTGCAGGCTGTGACCAACATCTTCTTCCAAATATGCCTCTCCCCAACGGCTGGGGCGGTGTCCTCTCGAACTGGTGGAGAAATACGCGTTATCGACATCGAGGCCAACTCCTCCCGGTCCGGCTTCAGAGCTATGCATCCTAGCGTCAGATGGGAAGTCTTCCGGCGTCAAATGAGACGCAAAGCTCTCGTCATTGCCCGGGGGCTGATCTCGCGTCGTTTGATGAGTCGTGGAGAAGATGCCGTTGAAATCAGGTGTCTTGCCGGGCAAAAAGTCGAGGAGCTGATCTGCCTCAAAGATTTGTGGCGTCAAGATTCCGGTATTGCCCAGGACCTCGTCCATTAGATCACAGTGTGTTGTGAAATCTTGGTACATATTGGGCGTTTGCCCTGGAAGATCGAGTTGGCCCGTATGAAGGAACTGTGTGCCTCCTCCTGGCGTTGGTTGTGGTGTGGTGCCTGTTTTTTCATGGCTACTTTGAGGATGCCTAGGTTGATGTTGTTGAGGCTGTCGAGATTCAACCCCTGACATTGCCATTTGGTGGGATATGTCCATTGGAGCTGAGTTGGCTGCGGAGGTCATGAGAAAGATATTCCAACTGTGAGGTGCAAGAGAGGGCACGAACAAGCAACTGAGGATGGACTAGGCTGTTGGTTTGAGGAACAGCTATGGTCGATGTTGACGAGGTTCGGACCTGAAGATGGTACCTCATTGCTTTCAAGATCGTTTCTGACGCAGTCTGTTGCTTTCTTCGAAGTCATATGTCGCGGTGCTCGCTGAGTCGCTCGGACAGCTCGGGGTAGATAGATACACCGGCTCCGGTGTAGCAAGCACTGAGAACATGCCGGACGAACACCGTCGCCTGCGCGGCGCAGCTGTCAGTTGGAGTTGTGAAAAGAAGGTGAAACACCACTTACACCGTACTTTCTTCTTGCGACACAGTTTACACGCCCTTGGGGTCCGTCTACCGAGACACGAAAGCAGACGTTAGGAGTTGATCTCACCCCCAAAAACAATGTACAACTACCGGATTCATTCATACCTGTGCGCCCAATCGGACTCGTCACCAGAAGCGTCATATGTTGGATTACCGGAAGCCATGGGTTAATGGGAGGATATTATGGCCAAAATTGCTGTTTTTATCGACACAGTGGTACAATTCTTCGAAGGGTTGATGAAGATAAAAATGTGTGGCTCGTAACTTGAAAGGATGAAGAGTTGCGGGGTAAGGCGAGGATTAGGCTAGTGGCCAGCAACACCTGGGGGGACGGAGGAGGGACCCTGGGGTCTGGGAGAGTGCCAAAGCATGGAGGGCAAGATTTCGGTCAGGCTAGTTGGCTAGGTGGCTAGGCACTTGGGAGATTTGTGGAGACGGGTATCTCCAGGTACTCGGTTACCACAGTATTCGATGATAGGGACCACGCTACAGGGCAATTACGGGGTTGTCTTTAGTTAAAGCAGGCGCCGCCTAGCGAAGTAGCATGGCCGCCAAGCCTCGATCCAGTTAGTGAAAGTTAGCTCCACCACTCGGCCTGAAGCGACAGTCTTTCTCGCAGTTACGATTTCCCCCTAATTCCTGTAAGAGGATTAGAAGTAATGGTAGAAGGTATCTATTAGTACTTTGATGTGTACGAGAATGATAACATACCGGCTGCCCAACTGCCAACTAATGAAATTCCAAAGACAAAAGTACCGGGTATCGAGGCGATTGGTGACGAAACCCGGCATTTCGGCAATCCGGAGCACAAACTCCTTCACCTCCAGATGCGCAGGTCTTTAGCGCACCAAGTTCGTCTGGGAAGATTCAGGATCGAGTTCCTAGTCCTCAGATCTCACAGCCTCATCCCTCGCCGCGTCTCCGAGCACGAGCAATACAGCTGAGATAGGAATCAAGGCCATGTTAGACGCTCACATCAATTACGACCAAGTCCAACTACGGATCAATGGTTATTGGTACGGCGACTCGACTTGTGGCCAGCGAGTCCTCTACCAGCTCCGAATGATGAAAATTCCCAACCACGACGTTTGACAAAAATTGCTCGACAGGAATTACTGGACTACATTTGGCTCAGCAGGCGGTACCACCCAGCGCTGTGCACTGTGTGCTAGCGGTACAGATGCACATTAGACGCCACGATGAAGGCCACGTGCGGTTGTGACAAACGCACCTAGTGCAACGCAATTGTTCGGAATTGCTAGCCGAGACTACATGGAAAGATCTGGCGCCAACGCCGCAGATTTTAGCAGAGATCGCCCGGATCAGCCACAAGTACTCGACACGAAACCCTTGATCGCAATTCACGGACGAATATAGCCAAGAAAGTATTCTCCCAAGACATGATTCAATCCAAGGGGCCGGTGCACACTGTTCTCGGCGAGCCATATCGCTCTCGCCGTGACTTTAGCATCTGAATACTGTCGTCACTCATCACCAGGCATGCCACTCAAATGTCGCATTCTGCGGCGAGGCGACAAAGCATCTCCAGCTCGGCCCACTCCGCTGCTGAGAGTCGATCACCCAAACAAAACTATCCACGCCTCTTTTCTTGCAGTATGGGACATTTTGGCTGCTAACAAATTGCGACGTTCATTTATATGGTTGGACGTTGACTCAAGCTATGACTATCTTTTGTTTTGATAGAGTTGAAACGCGATGAAAATCAGCAAAGTACCACCATTGGACTCATTGTTTTTCGACGAACGCCCTTGACAGTCGTCCTCAGACATATGTAAAGAACAAAAGACGACAGCCACACTGCAAAAACTTCTTGCCATATGCGGTTAGTTCGATCCGGCATCCCGGTATCTCGGCAGGAAAAGTGGAGAACGCCAGAGAAGCTCCTTCAAACGAGCCAATTAAAGCCCTCGGCATCAGTTCAAGCTTGGAACTTGAGTGGAGTGTAGATCCGAGAGGTACTGTGCTTGCTCTGTCTCTGTCATTGATGCAAACAAGATCAAATTCGAATCATAGCCGATAGCAGCTCTTACTTGTTGAAAAATCAAAAAACTCTTTTCATGGACCTAGGATTTGAAGAACAAGGCAAAAAGTCATGACTTTTCCACAGGCCTCATATTCCTTCATATCCCCTGATCAGCTCAAAGGGCCTCTCCTTCGATCTCAAAGGACATACGATTGCTGCCATTCCTATGGCTTCAGATCGAATGACCCACTCAGCTAAGCCACTACAACAAGAGGGGTGGCGGATGGCTTGATGTGCGAACATCTGGGCCGGTCTAGAACCACAAGTGAAGCGAGCGAGTAATATGCCGACAAGCACCCCTGGGATCACGATTATTCTACAATGATGCTCCGCATCGTCATAGACGTTTCGTCTTCAGAGACGCCGGCGCGCCGACATCAAATCGGATTTTAGACGGAGGTCGTGGCTTCGAGATCATGCAGGGCCGCATGGACCCTGGTGGAATCCATCATGCTCGTTAGTTAACTAGCGGAACATCTCTGTATACCTACCCATCTCTATAGTCAACATCCCGGTTGGAAATGCCGGGATGGGAGGATGGTGAGGTGTGCTTGACTCCGGATTACCGGAGTCAGTCGTTTCGCGTTGGCCGCGAGGCGATATCGACCAAGCTACACAGCTCCTTCGGATCGCCGGCCTAAACCAAGAAAACCTCGATACACAACTAACTTGCATCTCCAAAGCTATAGTGTGCCCGTAATTTTCTAGTCGTCTGTAATTGACACTCACCGGCGCCATGGCGATTCATACAGCGTTGACCGAAGCACTCGGAATTCAGGGTGAGCTCTCCCGACCGTGACCCCTCCACGATATGGGAGGAGCCACGACTAACCATGTGACAGTTCCTGTGGTGCAGGGAGGCATGCAGTGGGTTGGATATGCCGAATTAGCGTCCGCAGTCAGCAATGCTGGAGGTCTGGGAATTGTGAGTCCAAGGACCGAAGCCACGATCCATATTAGAGATACACCTACTGACAACATGGTTTAAAACGACAGCTCACGGCGTTGACCCAGCCAAATGCAGGTAATAGGCACCACTGCCTCATGTTTCCACCAGGGTCTCGGTGGTGTTGTTGATCAAACCTGAACAGAGGCGTTGCGAAGTGAAATCCGAAGATGTCGTACCATGACTTCGAAGCCGGTAACATTGTCGCCGATGTCCCACGGGCATGATCATGGCTCTGACCAGATGGCAGTTCGGGGTCAACATCACTCTTCTGCCAACCATGGTACCCCCGGACTACCGGGCGTACATTAAAGTCGTCGTGGAAGAAGGGATCCGCGTCGTCGAAACCGCGGGCAACAGTCCCGCAACCGTCATCAATGCCCTCAAGGCCGCCAACATGATCGTCATCCACAAATGTACCACGATCCGACACGCCCTGTCCGCGGTCAAGCTCAACGTGGACTTTCTCTCCATCGACGGGTTCGAGTGTGCCGGCCATGTGGGAGAGTCGGACATTACCAATTTCATCCTGCTCAGTCGGTCTCGACAGACCATCAAGACCCCCTTTCTAGCGTCCGGGGGTTTCGCCGACGGCCAGGGTCTGGTCGCCGCCATGGCGTTGGGAGCAGTGGGGATCAATATGGGTACCAGATTTATGTGCACCCTGGAAGCGCCGGTGCACATGAATGTCAAAAAGGCCATTTGTGCCGGGTCGGAGCACGACACGGAGCTCGTCATGCGCAGATGGACCAACACCTCTCGGCTGTACAGCAACAAAGTGTCCAGAGAAGCGAGGGAGATTGAGAAACACAGTCCGACGGGCAAATTTGAAGAGATCGCTCCACTGGTCAGCGGCAAGCGGGGACGCGAGGTCTTCCTCAACGGCGATATCGACTACGGGGTGAGTTTCTATTGTCCCGCACCTGGGCAGATCATCGGTGAAGCGCTGAGTCGCTAACGCACAAGAAACAAAAATAACAGGTCTGGACCGCCGGCCAAGTCATGGGAATCATCAATGATATCCCTTCGTGCGAGGTATTGCTGAGACGGATCGAGAGAGAGGCCGAGGAAAGCCTTTATCGGATCGCTGCCATGGTCCAAGTCAAAGACTGCCCTTCAGGCGACAAGCACGATGCGTCTGCTACAGGCACGATGGTTAGTAAACTGTGATATGGGTTATAGAACTTCTCCACCAGTCAAATTTATAGTATTTTCCAAATACAACCATAAGAGCTAAGCCAACTGGCTTCGGTCGGCCCCCGGGTCGCATTTCTGGCTATACCATGTATATGTGTGTGTATATATATATGCCAGATTCTAAGATATCGCAGTCCAGCATCGCAGGCCTTCTTTGCAGAGGGAAAAAAGAAAAACAAAAGGCATGCCTCCTGATTGATGGACTCGAGAGGATACTAACAGTTTATCGTGTCGTCAGAGCCTGGGTCCCGCTGGTGGAAGCTCAGGCAATACCTCCTCTGGCTCCTTGTATTCTGTATCTTTCAGACCAATGGCACTTTCACCTCTATTTGCCACCCACGGGCCCTCGTAAATCTTCTTGCTCCCGATGATGGGCGCGTCGTCGAACTGGCGGACATAGAATGCCAGGTCGGCTTTGGGATCGACGTCGTCCGGAGCCAGTCCGTTGCCCAAGAACGACCACCGATTGTCGTAGAGATATGTATAGTCCCAGTCCTCGTACCGGGGGTGCTCGACGGCGCGCAGATAGTGGATGGTCGACCCTGTCCACACGGCCGAGATCTTGTTGTTGTGCCGGAGCTTGTACCACGATTGACAGTCTTCACTCCACACCGTCGTCTGGAAAAATGTGTCTTTGAATTTCATAAACTCATCCGCGGCCGCCATCTTCGGTGTCACCGTCCTGTAACAACGAGTTCATCGTCAGCGCGGTGCTCATGTCATCGTCACCGAAAGCAGAAGACGGGTCGTTTGACTATTTTCCCGCAATCCATCCACTTCTCTTTCTTACCTTATGTCTTCTGTCTGCATTCGGTAGATGAATTTGCAGATATAATCGCCCTGCGCTTCGACCGCGCACAAGACCGGGCCGTTGCCGATCGGGCAGTTCGGCCCCAAGAAGGTGAAGTAATTGGGGAACTCGGGAACGGCCAGTCCTAGATACCCTTTCGGCTGATCACTCCAGACGTCACGGAGATCTTGCCCCTTGGGTCCTACCACGGGATACTTGGGTTTGAATGACGTGTCGAACCCGGTGGCACAGATGATGATATCCACGGGAATTTCACGACCACTCGTGGTTCTCAAGCCCGCCTCAGTCACTTCAGCCAGTGCATCGTAGATAAGCTCGGTCTTGGGATCCTGCAAGGCCTGCAGGTACCCAATGCCCGGGGTTAGACGGCGACAGCCCAGAGGCCACTTTGGAATGAGCTTGTTCGCGAGGTCGAAGCTTCCCAGCTGCTCGCGCATCTGCTCGGTGAACTTTTGTTTCGCGGCTCGGCATTCGGGCGTGTTCTTCAAAAAGATCTGGAAAAAGCTGTTGTTGGTGGCCTCGATGCGCTTTCGAAGGAGCAAGTGTGTCTCTGGATGGTCGGCGAACTCGTTCTTCTCCTCCTCCGTGAATTTGCGGGGCATGCTGTTCCCAAAGGGCGTCACGACCCAGGCAGGACTGCGGATGACATGGACCACGCGGTTTACCTGGGGTAATATTGCCGGCAAGATCTGAATCCCCGAAGACCTAGAGCCATGTTCAGGGCCGTGACATATGAGGGCATTATCAATACCGGCACTTACCCATTGCCAACTAGCCCAACGGTTTTCTGGTCAAGGTCGACCTGCGGATCCCAATGCGCACTGTGCACTAGTTGACCCTGGAACTTGTCGAGTCCTGGAACATCAGGCCATTTCCAGCTGTTAAGTACGCCAGTCGCATTGACCAGAATATCGCAGACTGTCTTTTTTGATCTCCCAGACCGTAAGTCGTTGGTGGTCACGGTCCATGTAGCGCCGACTTCATCCCATTCACACCGTGTAACCGCATGTGAAAGTTGAATGTAGCGGTCCAGATTGTATTTGTGACAGAACGATTCAAAGTATCTGTGTATTTTTGAACGAAATATACGTGAGTACATTGTCTTCTGCTATATGGTTTGTATTGCGTGGATGGATGCGGGATTCATTACCCTTGAATCTCTTGAGACGTGGAATACGTGCCCTCATAGTCCGTCTTGGGTTCGAAGGAATAGGTATATGTGTGTGAAAAGTTGTCACAGGCGCATCTGCGTCAATTTAGTATCACAGTTGCGGAAGGCATATAGAACTGGTATGCTGACCCTGGATAATTGTTCTGCAACCCCGAGATTGTCAGCCTTGTATTCGGGAGACTTTGGACCGGCTACCAGGGATACGTTGGGTGCACGTTCTTGTAATGGCAGCAATGCACTTCCCATGACATATCCATGCATCCCCAAAAGAGACTGATGATAAGGCATCTGGGGAGTGGTCAAGACTTACTTCCCACCACGTCCCTCCCACTCCTGCTCGAAGGAGCCACAAGTCAGTCATGATACCAAGGTGCAACAAACCATAACGCGAGAGCCATTGAACCCACCTTCGTTCTTCTCAAAAATGGTCAAATCGACATTGATGAAGTTCCTCTGGATCTTGTAAGCGAGCAAGAGTCCAGAGGCTCCGGCGCCGATCCCAACGATCCGAAGCCGTCGGGGCTGCAGCGCGGGACGCTTCATGTATTCAGGGAGGTTCTGCGTGTCCATCTTGGCGACGAATGAATGGTAATTTGACTGCGCGGTAGAGATATTGGTTCAAGGTGCCAAATTTATGGTCTCTCGTTCAAAAGTGGCGGCAAATGCCAATGCCAGTCGAAGCATATTCCTCCGGTTTGCCGGGTGATTTCCCTTCCTTCCCACGCCACACGAACGCGCGCTTAGACGGTATCTGGGAAATGGGCCTACGGCTGCTCGATTTACGTGGCATTCAGGTTGACTATACGGACAAATTGGAAGTTTGTTGAAGGTAAGGAACGTAACGATCTCACTATACAAGAACTAAGTGTTAAACAGTATGCAAAAGAAGAGGGTCTAGTGCCCAGACTTTGACCTCCTGCTTCCTCTACCATCTCCTTTGAAACCTCCCTGCGATGACTCACGTTTCTAATGCGTCAGGCCTGGAGAAAGCTGCCAGTGATCTAGTGAAAACCCCTCATCCCTCGAGTTCTTTGTGTATCCATTCCCCTTAGAAGCAATCGTTATCACCACACCCCGCGCTGTTGCCACGCGGCCGGCTCTACCCTGTTTGTCGGTTCTCCGGTATCTCGGACGAACCCTCCGCCTCCATGCGCTCTGATTTGCTGCTTGGCGGCAAAGTGGTCTAGGTGGAGTGACATCGGACAAGGAAAAGGGGCTCGAGTAGTTAGTCTTGGTTTCCTATATTACCAGGTCGTCTAGAGGTGCCTATAGGTCACTTACTGCCCATTGTCTAATCATCACCTTCTGTCATATCCAGAAGCCATGGGGTCGTACGCCGAGCCGTATATGGTGCCAGATCGCTATCACTCTCAGATAACAAGGCCATTGAAAGTCATATGTATTGGTGCCGGGATCTCTGGACTATGTCTGGCTTACAAGATGATCAGAGGCTTGGAGAAGTTCTCCTTGACCATATACGAAAAGAACAAAGACATCGGTGGAACGTCAGTATTAAGTGCCCCATTATTCCTTGACCATATGCTGACTATCTACCCTGTAGCTGGTTGGAGAACAGATACCCCGGATGTGCTTGCGACGTCCCGGCACACATTTACAGTATGTCAACGTGAAACAAGTCTTCTCATCCACATCAAGCTGATCACCATAGCCTTCACATTTGATCCAAAACCCGACTGGTCCGAGTACTATGCCGGGGCAGAAGAGATCTACGAATACTGCCGGGGTATGATCCCTCGAGACAACTTCGGATCTCAATGCGTGATGTATTGACACCCTCGAAGATTTTTATCAGAAGCACGACTTGGCCAAGTTCGTCAAGCTCTGCCATGCGGTCAAAGAAGCTCGCTGGGACGAGGCCGAGTGCAAGTGGAAGGTTGAGGTGGAAAACTCTGAGACGTCGCCCTCCACGATTATCACAGACGAATGCGACGTGCTGATCGATGGTTCCGGATTTCTCAACACCTGGACCTGGCCGAAAATCAAAGACTTCGACTCGTTCAAGCTACCTAAGGTGCATTCTGCACAATGGAACCCCAATTTGGATTACAAGGGCAAGACGGTCGGAGTCATTGGCAACGGATCAAGTGCCATACAAGTGAGTGGTTACGTCTCCGAAGAAACCCGGGAACCAATATTATTCTAACGTGCAACATCAGCTTGTCCCAAAACTGGCGAAAGGTAGGAGAAACCCCTTCTGGACCATTCTGATGTTAAATACCTCCCAAGGGGACCGGGTTTGGGTGCTGACAGCCACATCCAGAAGTGGCATGCCTCAAAGTCTTCATGCGCTCGCCAACGTGGATCTCACCGGCGCTGGGCGGCGGCGTGGCTCTTCAGTTTCAAGACGAAGTCGGACACAATGGCCAGACGACTAACCTGGAGAACAAGCACGAACAGTTCACCTTCACCGAGGAGGAGAAGAAGAGGTTCCGCGACGACCCCGAATACCATTTGAGGTTCCGAAAAAGAATCGAGGCCGAGTTCAACACCATGGCAGATGCCTTTATATATGGCAGCGACGTCCAAAAGCAAATGTTCCAGACAATGACTCAACAGATGAAGGCGCGTATAGGCCCAGGACACGAGGACCTCACGGCGAAGCTAATCCCGCAATGGGCGCCGGGGTGTCGCAGACTGACTCCTGGGGATGGTTACCTAGAGACGCTGGTCCAGCCACACGTGCAGCCCGTGTTCGGGGAGATTGGCCGTCTAACGGAAACAGCAGTGGAAATGGCAGATGGGACGCAACACGAGGTTGATATCCTGGTAGGTCATCTGTCTGTATGTATACCACACCTGAAACACGCCGCTCACTGTGCATTATCGGACAGGTGTGTGCTACGGGCTTCGACACGTCGTTCATCCGAGCGTTCCCAATCATCGGACGCGATGGACTGAGCATGGAAAAGGCCTGGGCCCTGCGCCCAGATGCATACCTAGGCATTGCTGCGCCCCATTTTCCAAATTATTTCATGTCAACGGGACCTCAAGGCCCGTTGGGGAATGGGACCATCTTGCCTGCGGTAAGCGTCCTCCTCCCTTCTTTATCCCTTGAGAAATAGAGAAACCCTAACGACTGACAACACATCCCAGATCGAAACCGCATGTGAATATTTTGTTGCAGTCATGAAAAAGATGCAAGAAGAGGGCATTAAATCCGTGGAACCAAAGAGATACATGACGACCAAGTTCCAAGAACACATGTCGGCTTTCCACAAAAACACCGTCTGGTCGCAGCCATGCAGGTGAGTGTTGTACATATCCCGGGACCTCACTCGTTCCTTTCGCATTGGTTCGTTGTGGGAAGGAGGAAAAGGAGTGAACATTCAACTGACGCAGTCCATTTCTACCGCAAGATCATGGTACAAGAATGGCACGGTGGATGGGGAACCCCAGCTCTGGTGCGGCAGTGCTCTGACCTACGTCAAAACCATTCGAACTCCACGCTTTGAGGATTACGACATGCAGTATGAGAGTTCTAATCCTTGGGCGTTCCTCGGCAACGGTAAAACGAGAGCCCACTACGAGGCCGCCGAAGGTAAAGCAGTTATCAACCAGCTGGCACCATATATCCGGAATGATGATACACCATGGGCTATTTAGAAGACGGGAGAACCTTGAACAGAGAAGGCGAACTGGGAATGGCTCTGGGCACATTCTTCAGAGAATCGATATCTACTATCACCATGTAACCCAAACCATATACAGAACATGTCTCGTTGATAACAAGCCCGCGGCGACTATCCCGGTTTGAAGCTCTCCTAGTTAAAGTATTGCAATCGCATTTGGAGGTGAGCCTACGCCACCCATGATGTTCAGCGGGGCTGGGGCCAGAGCAAACGTCCATTTATTGAGTCGAGCACAGGCGACGCTCAATTCCTCGAGATTCCAGAGCTCTCCTATCGGGATTCCCGCGTGCGGCAAGAGCCAGTTATGCAGCATACTGCCATCCGAAGGGGGTGGAAATTCTGGTAAATCAAGAGACACTCATCAGCACGGAATAGTCAATCTTCGTTTGCAGAGGAGGGGGGAAATCGATCCATGACTTGTTTGCCTGTATGTACAATACCTTCAAAGGTCAACCCGTCGCCTGCGACCGCCGCGAACCGGTTGTTCCATATCCATCGCCTCGCAGCCTCTCCAGCCCGCACGCCAAGTTGATTGGGGCCGGCGAGCCCCTCAGAACGCGCGGGCTCAGGGGTATCACGATACCACTTGACCAAGCCAGTCCGGATGATGAGGATATCTCCGGGGCGGAAAATCACCCCGGCCCATTCTCGGACTTGTTCGAGGTCGTCGACGGTAATGCCGTAGGCGGTGACGGGAACAATGGCAGGTTCGCCTCGTTGTTCCCGCCAGCGAGCCCAGTCGATGAGGACACCCCGGCCAAAAATTCCCTGCTTGCACCAGTCTGTTGAGTTAGGAAAGCTCCCAGCCACGATCCTGCTACACAACCAATGAAACGAGCTTCCCACGTCGGGTGCTGCACAGAAGTCTAGGGATGGACTTACGGTGGATGCCTAAGTCTGCCTTTTGGACTTCAACGTCATCGTCGTGCTTGATACCGTTATAGTAAGTGCGGGTCTTCTGATGGCCGTAATGCAAGAACCCATCCCACTGTGATCCAGACTGGGTGTTGAACGAGACTTCATCATCATGCCCGACGAGTCCTACCGTGGGCAAGTGGTCAATGTAAGTATGTTCGACCCCCTTTCGGCCATATGCCCGCGGACCCAGTTCACTAGAGCACCAATCCAACTGGAAAGAGAGGCCAGCCACGACTTCTCTGGCGGCGGCAGTCTTGGTCTCGGGCGTGAGGTGATTCAGCGCTGTAGAAAGAAGAAGGCAGGACGTGAGCAAACCAGTCAGCATGCGACACTCGTAACTTCTTGTGAGTGAGTGAATGAGCCACTCAATCGTACCTCGCAGATGGTCTTTTTGCCCATCCTTGTCGAAGATGCCCCAGGCTGACCGTGTTTGGGCCTCTTCGTTGTACGGTAGATCATCATAATCCGGCACGATTACTCCGGTGTGAGGAACCATTTCTCCTTGTCTGGGGCTTTTCAGAAGGCACTAGTGGGTGAGGTACATGGATGAGTTCTCATCGATAACACATAGAAGTAGGTGGATTTCGGTGTGTGTTTTCCTTTTTGATCAAATCGACTATGATATCAAACTCCCAAACTCCGGAATGCCGAAGTGAGAAGCCCTACTCGTGTGCTGGTGCCTCACGATTCCTCATCGAATGAACGGACTTCAAGGGGGAATCTCGATATGACAGTAAATGTGATTTACTCGAGGGAATCGCTGCACAGCCTTTGCGGTGGATTGTGTTGCACACGGTTCTTATGCACAGGGGAGTTAGGTCCAAGCGCTTGAGGCACTGTTTAACTCAGGTCGAATCGTGATGCCATGTGCCAGGGAGAACGAACTACGAGGTTGCATCATATATATACCCTAGCTTATCTAGGAAGGTCAGCCGTCGTTAACTCGCCACCCTAGCCCCTTTAGGCATGTCACATCTCGCTATGGTTGCGCTCCCCACCTATGAAAAGCTGCACTCATCAAGTGTCCTATGGCTCGCACTGGAATCGAATCTGGCAGAGACATACCACTTCGCTGTGATATATCTACAATTTAGCCTGAGGCGACCGGGCACCCAGTTCCTGCCTAGCCACGTGGAATTCGCGGAACAGCTAGTCGGTTCGATCTTACTGCATACCAATCCGGGTTTTTACGACGTCCTTCCACTGCTTATTCTCTCCCTTACCTCAGTGCTGCAGCTGAAGCTTGTCTGTCCCACGGGCGATGCCCAGCGACCACAGTTGTGTCGACCTGGATGGCACAGTCGATAACCTCGAGGGCCGTTTGAGGGACTTTGACATGGTTCGTCCGTCCAGCGAGCAAAAGTGAATCTCAGGTCCACCAGGGATCCTTCCAACCAACCACGAGGATCTGACTGGCGGCTGGCAGATCTCCGAGTCTCTTGCTTGCATTCCCCCAGTATATGTCCCGAACTACCGAGCACCCGAATCCTGAATTGTTTCTCATATCCAGCCACCGCATCGCAAGGAAAACATCTCCATCAAGTCATTGACTAGGTCGCCGTGACATGTACCGAGTACAATGTGTTCTTTTGCATCTTTTGAAGCTGAACACCGTGCGCGAACAGTCTCATAATTCTCACAGGGTATTCAGGAAGCACACTGGTGAGAGAATTGGTGTGACGGGATGGGATGTACGGGTGTTTCCGGATTACCGAGTCCTGAGGCTCTCCATTATCATGATAATACCATATGGTCTCAGCCTTGAAACAGCCGCCGTTCCAGGATATGCCATCACGATAGCCCAGGCCGGCCAAGATGACCTATAAATCAAAATTACCAGCAGTCACATGTATGTTGACCGTCCACGCCCAAGGAGACATACTCCGGCGCCGTCGTGTATAACCTCGAGCATTACTAACACTCTTCCCCCTGCAGGTCCAGAAGACGTCACGGTCTGGTCATGGCTTTTCGACTCTCCGAGTTTCCAACAGGCCCAGAATCGAGGCGTCACGAACGCCGTCTCAGGGGATCGCATAACGTTTGCGGAGCTCAAAACCTATGCCGAGCAGCTTTCCGTGGCTCTGGTTAGAGACCACGGGCTCCGACCTGCCGAGACGGTTTTGCTGATGAGCGGGAACAATATATGGTATCCTGTCGCCATGTTCGCGGCATTAAGAGCTGGGGCCAGAGTTGCCGGAGTAACACCTGCATCGACAGTGGAGGAACTATCTCATGTCCTTCGTCTTTCGCACGCCCGTTACTTCATGACGGTCCCAACCTCCGCCGCGGTGGTGATGACTGCGGCACGAGATGCTGGAATCCCGCTCAGCCGCGTTTTCCTCCTCGAAGGCCGCCACGGGGATTTGGTCAACATCCATCGTCTCATTCAGACGGGATCTGAACTTGCCATGACACCCTTCAACGAACCTTTCAAGATCCCCCCCGGCACGAGCAATCGTGACCTCTGCGGATACTTGAGCTTTACCAGCGGAACGACCGGTCGACCCAAAGCCGTGAGTAGAAACCCCTTTCTTCCCTTCTTCAGTTTGGCGATTATCATGACGACGGAGCTGATTGATGCCATCCAGTGTATGATATCACACCATAATGTCATTGCTCAGTGCATACAGATGGCTCAAGTGACCAGTCCCGACAGCGACAAAGCGCTTGCCATCCTGCCTCTTTATCACAGCAAGTCTTTTTTTTTTCTTTTTTTGGCATAGCCTCATCTATTAACATCGTCCTGTCAGTCCGGACGACTAACACTGCGAGTAGTTACCGGTCTTGTCAACCTGTTACACCTTCCCATTTATCGAAACGCCGAGATCCTCATGCTCCCCAAGTTCACCATGGAATCGATGCTGGACGCGATAGTCAAGTATCGACTGACCGAGGTGCTGATGGTGCCCCCGATCATCGTGCGGCTTCTTCAAGAAGAGCCCATGGTCTCACGATATGACCTGAGCTCCATCCGCAGGTTCACCTCGGGATCGGCGCCTCTACCCGAAGACGTGCTCGGCATGTTGCAGGATAAATTCCCCAACACCGGATTCAAGCAGGGCTGGGGGATGACCGAGACGTGCTGCTGTATCACGGCGACGGACCCGGCGCACTACGACTTCAAATATGCTCGCACCGCGGGCGTGATCCTTGCGAACACGGAGATCAAAATCCTTGACGAGAACGGGGCCGAGGCCGACGTGGGCGAGATCCTGGTCCGGGGACCTCAGTGTACGATGGGCTACTTGGACAATCCGGAGGAGACGAGAGGCACGTTCTTGGCAGACGGTTGGCTCCGCACCGGCGACATGGGGAGAATGGACGCTGAAGGCTGCCTGACCATCACGGGCCGCATCAAGGATCTGATCAAGGTGAAGGGCGTCGGCGTTGCGCCCGCCGAGCTGGAAGACGTTCTCATCAGCCACCCTCACGTCCAGGACGCGGGAGTCCTGGGAGTCCCCCATTCCTACAAGGGAGAGGTTCCATATGCGTTCGTGGTGCTCCACAAAGACGTCCAACCCAGCCGCGGCCTCGCTGAGGAGCTCATCCAGCATGTGCGTGCGCGGAAATCCCGGCCAAAGTGGGTGGTGGGAGTGTCCTTTGTGCAAGCGATCCCTCGCGGTCCCAATGGCAAGATTTTGCGACGGCAGATGCAAAAGTTCAAGCCTGAGCTCAAGCTGTAGCTTTTCGGGGGTATTCATTGGTATTTTTTTCTCACTCAAAAAGCATAGACTTGCACAATTTCCTATTCATGCGCTATAGACCCCCAGCCTCGCAATATGTAGGACGTAATCGGATTCGGGATTTTATATACCAAACCAAGACTCGACCATGAATTGGACACGGGTCTTGTTGTACATCGTCATCCTGTACCCGGGCTGGAGTTTTCAAAACATGTCTGGACGCGTTTTGATGTGATAGAAAACTGCTCCAAACAAAACGACCTTTTCGAGGGTTGCGCTTAAGACTCAATCTTGAAAAGTGTCGGCTGTAATATATGCGGAACCTCGTCAATTCAAGCCTTGACGACGACCCTAAACCCGGTCTTGGACAACCTCGACAGCCACACAAACACTGTGCCACCCATGATCATGGCCCCCGCGTACACCTTGGCGGCGTCGTACGACCCGCCGTGCATCTCGATGATGGCACCCATGACGGGCGGTCCGACGAGCGACGAACACGCCATGGTCAAAAACATGACGCCCATTCTCCCGCCAAACCGGCGCAGGTCTTCCGTCATGCTGGCCACTACGGCCGGAGGCGTGGCGATGACGGCGCCGGAGAAGAACCCGTACAGAACGGTGATGGCGAGGAGGCCGCCGAGTGTGCGGCATGGGATCCAGACGAAGACGAGCAGGGCCGTCACGAAGAGCGAGGGGCCTTGGATGTTCAACGGCCCCGTGTAATCGGCGATGAAGCACGGGATCAGACGACCCAGGATGCTCGCCGCGTTCAGCACCGGCAGCAAGTACTCGAGCGGAAAGCCACCGCCTGAGGACTGGCGGTCCAGTCCGATCGACTCGGCCCAGGCTTCGACGTAGTTGTAGAAGCCGAAAAACCCAAAGTACGTGACGAACTGGCCGGCGGTCCAGAGAGCGAACTCGCGCTGCTCCCTCAAAGCTTGATACTCGATAAACCGCGCCCCCTTTGCCGGTCGGGGTGGCAACCGCTGCCGTATCAACAGGTTGCTCACCAGCAGGGTGACCAGCGACATGAGGGCGAGAATGCGCACCGCCCACCCAAACCCCACAGACGAGATACTGTGCCGCAGTCCAATGGGGATGACGATGCCGCCCAAGGACGCACCAGAGCTCACGATCCCGACAGCCAGTCCTCTGCGTTTGTGGAACCAGGTACTCGGCAACGCCACGCTCGGGACCAACAGCATCCCCATGCCCAAGCCGACACAGACGCCCTGCGCCAGCACCGCCTGGTAGTACTCCTTGACCAAGCTGGTCATCAGGGTCCCGAAGACGACGAGAAACGTGCCCAGGCCGAGCATCTGGCGAAAGTACCCGGCGTCAAAGTACTTGCCCCCGAGCGCACCACCCACCAACAAGAGGGTATTCTGGATGGAGCCGATCCAGGCGATGGCCGAGGCGTTCTTGGACGCACTTTGCAGAGGATAGTTGCCGCTGTGGGCTATCTGGGTGGTATAGTACGTCTGGAAGGAGCCGTACGAGACCACCAGGCCCCAACTGTTGAACATGAGAAAGTGCCCGGCGATGACTTGCAGCCACGGTTGGAGGCCGACATCTGGAGGCGGTATTGGAGCAACATCAATGTCGACGTGATCCGGTCCTTGCCCTTGTCCTTGTGGAGTGTGAATTGGTACCTTGGTCGTTGCAGGGTCTGTGCCAGCTTCTCCCTGTACTGAAATATGCTTTTCGTCAAGCTGGTTGGTGCATGCAGCCTTGGGAGACGGGACCTCCGGAATGGTGGCTTTGTCTTCGCGTTGGATCTCGATAGGCACCGGTACTAAATTGCTGGTAAGTAAGTATATTCAACCACCATGGCTCGAGCCAAGAAGAAAGGCGACATACACCCGTGCGAGCTCTGCTCATTCTGCTCCTCAGGCCAATCCCGACTCCCGATATGGACAAGATCCGTCATGATCTTTGACCTATCAGTCCCTGACCCAACACCAATGTTATTTCCTTTCCAGTCGACGATGAAGGATGTTCCATGGACACGTTGGACGGAGTATATACCTCCACAACTCTGCGGAAGAATCAAGACAAGTCAATGGGTGTCCCCAACGAATGTGAAAGAGATTGTTCCGACCACCGAGTCTCAGTCTTCCTCTCGAGATATCAGAGGTATAGATTTACACGTTGCACGCATGTGTGGATAACCTGTCCCTCTGTGCCCATGAGTGGCATATGATATGTGACCTGCCACAATATATCCATCATCCATGATCCAACATGAGGCAGGAAATGCTTGGTGATCTGCCCACATACCGCACGCCGACATCCGTCCGTCCCATGCTATGACATACCGTCACACCAGGCACTTTACTTGGTACCTAGGCACTAAGGAGGCAGGTAGCTAAGTCCTACTCGTACTACTCAGGTAACTATCCCTCCAAGCTTGATACCTGGACAGAGGCCAGAGGTCAGAATCATCATACGCCCCGACCCCGACAGCCGTAGCGCAGGGAGCCAAAAACCCAAAATTGAGATCCGGTGGCATTAGTCGGTGTTTGCTCGTCAGATTTCACACGAAGGGCGTGTTTTTAGCCCCGTTTGTTGTTGGATCAGAACCCACATTCTACCACATCTCCTAGACGTGATCTCCAATTTCTCCATCTTTCGGCAGTCCCGGTAGTCGGGAGTGTGGACAATGGTCACGCGTTCTGATCGACCCCTAGAGGGGCCGAGGGAAGCTCGTATGCGGAGAAAACACGGACGACAAACACAGGCACAGGACAGAAGGACAGGAGGACGTCGGAATGGCAAAGGAAGTTCCGGTATTCCCCTTTGTGGCTATCGTATGAGACCTATGTTGGTCCGTACAGTCCTCCGTGCCGTGCCTGCTTCCTATTTCGGCTATTATACCTACTCTTTTGGGACCGTGCGAGGTGGTCCTCGGTATAGAAACATGTCCGGTAGAGGCCCACGGGAAATGCGCCCTGCGAGGTACAAGATACGCAAGGGTGAGTAAACATTCAAAGTCGCATGGGAAAACAAAAACGCAACCATATCGAGATTGAAAATCATTATCAATCATCACCCAAACCAGGTGACGAGTTACATCATGGTCGATCTCTCCAATGGGAATTTCTTGATGGAAAATGGGCACTCACAATAGGTCTAAATGATATGGACTGTATGATATGTATACCTACTTCGTCAAAAATCCAAATAAATCTCTGTTGCACCAAGAATTCCGACGAGGCTGGAGGTTCGTTGGGGCGCGAAAAGAGATTTTAAGGCCGCAACATCTGCTCCTCGACCTGCAGTACCTCATACATGCTCATCTCTGGATTGATCTATTGGAACAACATTTTCAGGCTTTGCTCTATCATCCTCTCTTCTCTGACCAAAAATCACAGACATCCCTCCCTGGCTAATCTGGCTGGGCCAGTCCACGCATATCAATACACGTGTCCACAATGCGCAAATAATTACAATGGGTGTTATACTGTCTATGTAGGTTATTCTCATATACGTTCGTCCCATCGTCGAATCCTCCCCATTAACATTATCCTGGAGATGTCGATAGGTGTTGGGATTCGTAGGAAGGCGCTCGAAAGCCATTTCCCTGAGAAACAAGTGTCTGGCACCTCATACTTGCTCGTTAAAATCAGGGCGGAACTCCATATTTTTGGTTGATCTGTTGGCATGACCATGTCCCATGTCTGCCTATCCTGATGTCGAACCGTTTCGAGCCGAGCCGAATATTCATGTCCTCTTCCCAACTAAACTCCTCCTTTAAGCCTCCAGTGTACCCACCCTCCTCCACCATCTCTCATTGATGAGAAGGCATGTCACATGTCTGCTTCATAAGTCCATCGAACGTGACCAATCGGCCTAAATGTGGCGCTTCCTTTCGAGAGCGCCACGGAGCACCAGAAAGGAGTGTGACGGTGGTCCGCGTTCCCTGGCGGCATGTGTTGTCCCGCTCTTTGTTTCCAGTCATGTAGAATTCTTCAACGGACCTATCTTCCCTCACCAGCTCGCTGAAACTTGATGAGGACATCCTTCATCTTAGGCACCAGCTCCGGCAGTCGAAACGGCTTGCTAACGACATCATCGATTCCGCTCTGCAGTGTCATCTCGATCTGTTCAGCTCGCGCATTTGCCGTTACTGCTATAACAGGGACGTGTGCAACCAACTCCCCAGTATCTTGCATGTCTCGGAGTTTTCGTGCGCACGTCTGCCCATCCATGATAGGCATTTCCAAATCCATGAGAACCACATCAATCTTCACCCCGTCCGTTACATGGTCACGGTAAAACCTGGACTTGCGGATCTGATCGATAGCTTCGCCGCCATGATTGGCCACGTAGACGACACACCCGATTTTGCGGAGCTGCGCTGCAAGTACCTTTTGGTTGATCAAATTGTCTTCGACGATGAGCACGTGAACAGGGCCACTTTGTGTGGTCAGGTTGGTGGAGTCCGCTTTTAGAGAAGCAGGCGATTTCGAAGGACCAGTTGAGGCACCTGGCGTCGATTGGAGCATTTGCATGGTCAAGCCGCTCAGCGGCGTGGTTCTGGAGCCCTTCCTGCTATGTGGTGCCGACGTACTGGGGTTGTCGTCCAAAAGACTGACATCGCCATTGGTGCGGCGAGCTTTGATGTAGAACGCAAATATACTGCCGTTGCCACTCTCAGAGGCTACGCCGATTTCACCTCCCTGGAGTTCGACCAATTCCCTTGAGATGAAAAGGCCCAGGCCGGAGCCACCATACGTAACATGTGTGCGAGGACTAGCTTGGGAGAACCGCTGGAAGAGTTGCTTCTTCTCGAGTTCATCTAGTCCACGTCCGGTATCCTGCACTGCAAAGTGCAAATACACCGGCTCACCCAAGCCCCATTCTGCTGCCGCAGTGACATCTTTGTCTTTATGTGTCCGAGAAGGGATATAAGTGAGCCTCCATTTGTCTTCTTGAGACGGCTTTTCCCCTGAAGCCGCGATGTACATTCGAATAACGCGATTCTCCTGCGTGGC